TCCTGCTGCTGCTTTTCCCCCCAGCACACACCTCTGCTTGTGGGGTTAGTGCAAGGAAAAATGCGCCTGGGCTGCCACCAGCAGCCGTACCTTGAGTCCTGGCAGCCTCCTGGGGCTCCAGTGGTGGCGATCCAGTCGTGCGGAGCCTGGCTGGCAGGCAGAGCGTGGCTCGGGTTGGCCAGGCTCTGGTGTTGGGCGGCACACTCTGCTGTCACGTGCGCCACCCTGAGTTTTTTTCCACTCACTTCTTTTTGGTACTGGGATTTCCTAATGTCTAAATTTGGCTCTGTGCTGCAAATATGTAGCACGGAAAACCAAATCCCCTTAGAGAGAAATATAGCCCGGTGGGACTGCTCATGTAAATAAAGGGTTTGGCCCATTTCTGATCAAAGGGTTCAGTCCTCTGTCAGTGAGCCCCAAATTATTTTGTCATTGAGAACAGGATTTACTCTGTTGGGTCAGTCCGCCAAGGCAACAAGAGCCAGATTTTCAAAGGTATTTTGGCACTGGAAAGGAAGAAATTGTGCCTAGTGGGATTTCCAGAAGTGCCCAGGTGTCTAATTCTCTTGGGAGGTAACCAAAGTGAAGTACTTACTCAAGCTGGGCACTTCTGACAGTTTCATAAGGCTTCTGTCTGTATCGTTAGGTGTCTAAATTCCTTTGAAATTCGGTGTCTGGACTTCGGAGGAGAGAATTGAGAGAGACATTCAGTCCCTTAAGGGAATTGAACAAACATTGCCTGGCACGTTTGCTAAGTAAGAAAAGGAGTGTCTAAGGCTGCCATGTGGGTGGCAAGGCTCACTGTCATGCAAATGGAAGCTATATTTACATAGTGAGGATTTTTGTGGGACCTTTTAAACAGTAATTACCAAAGAGGAGCTGAACTGAGTTAGGTTTTAAAAGCTGGCTTTTTATTCCACAAGAGGATGACCAAATGGGGTATGTGACCCTTCTCAAATGATGTGGACCCTTTCCACTTCCAAGGAAACCAAACCAAAGGGGTTTGTATGACCATGCTGTGACTCACCGCAAGTCAAACATGGATGTCAAACATCCTTCCCTGCAGGGAATGTAAGTCTCTTGGGCTGTGCTTGCAGCTCTGACTAGTTAGCAGTTAGCCAAAATGTTGTAGGTTAGACCCTTGTTTGCCAATGATTTCCTGAACCAATAGGTAAAACCAAGTCAAACCAAATACACTCCTTTAAGACAATGACAAATCATCTTTGAACATTTGCCAAATGAATCCCATTCCCTCTGCTCCATTCATGGATCCTTGTATTTTCTCATCCGAGCATTCAATGAAGATGACAGTCATTTTTTTCCTAAGTCTGAAGTTTGCACTATTTCTTAATCAAAACCGAATATGAAGGAGCAGCCGGTCAACTTTTGAACTAAACTTTGCAACACCAAAGAGGTCCCAAAGAGCAGTCAAACCTTGGGAGTCTCTCATCTAGTAGCAGCAGGGCTTGATAGGAAGGTTGGACTACCTCTGTGGAGCAACACTTTAGGCCTGTGCTGAAATGAAATGCATTAGCAGTCATGGTTGGAGTCCAGAGCTAAGCTTCACTGGAGCAGAGATCTGCCATAGATGGTAAAGACTGAGGGGCCGGTCTCGATCACAAGCGTGTTACCACATGGGAACATGTTGATGCTGAGGGTACTTGGAAGTATGACTGACTTTTCTACTGAGTTCTCTTAACAGCGTCCCAAGAAGTTCCTTGTGTTTTTACTTTTGGGAGCCCAACAGATGGTTGACAAGGAGCAGAGAATTTATTGTGTTCAAATTGTTCACAGGGAAAAGGAAATGTTGGGGATTTTGAGCACAGTCGGCATGTCCCTGTTGGAATCTGGCTTCCATCCAGATACTGGTTTTGAAGGAGCTTCCACTGCTAAATGCCACACCAATGGCACATCTGGCCTTAAGGTCTGGAATTAGGATTGGATGTCCCTTCCATCCATTTTAAGCCACTTACCCTGGATGTACTGTGATGTTGCTGAGTACTGATTTTGGCCTGTAATCTTACAGTTGCTGTAATAGCCACGAGCAGGAAGAGAATTCACGGTCGTGAAGGGAGGCAGATCTCTCCTACCATGATAATGCTACTCTCTGATGATGCAGAACACTGTTCCTTTATGTATTTAAGAAGAGTGTATTAGTTATATTTGTATGTAAATCTATATTGCCAAGACATTTCATTTTATCATTTAACTAAGGATTCTTCACTACTGCTTTTTTGTTAATAAGGAAGAGGCTTTAATCCCTTTACCTAACAGAAGCGTAATAAATCTACTATTGGGTTGTTTACTGTTTTTTCTTTTCTTTTTTCAGGTATGATTTTTGACCAAAATATATGAAATAACTCCTTGGCTTTCGGTGAATGCGAGAAAGTAGCCTGGCTATAATTAGGGAGCTGAGTTTCTGTATCACACCCATAGGCCTCTGCTGCAAAACTCAGACCTGGAATTGAAGCATTCAGATATTTTGTGGGTGACTTTTTAGTCCAAGCTGACCTACAGTACAGTACAGTACAGTACAGGATACTGAGGAGGAGCAAGAGCCATTGAATGGTGATGCTTCATTCCCGAGTGGAAAGGACTTCTGTCCCTCTTAGAGTTGCCACTGCCATTCTGTATGTGGTTCCCGGGGATCTTTGCCATGCATGCCAGCCCTTTGTGCAGTCTGCTAGGGTAAAATATCTTGCTTTATAATCCATGCCTTGCCAGCTCAGCAGTGAGACTCGTTAACATGGTCAGTATGGCTGCACTGGTGCATAGGGACACTTTTCAATAACAAAAACAGATGCCATCAATCGTGCTAGTTAGAAGGTACTGCCCCAACTTTGGGATTTAGGCCAATGTCTCACATTCAGTAAACGAACATTGAAGATAACTTCTGACTGTGAAGTCAGCCATTCGGAGGGCAAGTTACCAAATCATCAGTACAGTTTCACAGATGAGAACTGTGTTTAGTTAAGGACTGCAAGACCATGGCCCAAATTAGTAACACCAGGGTGGAAGCAGATCTTTCAGTGTGAAGGCATGTTGGCACCTCTGATTTTAATACCTTGTATGAAGCTCCCTAAATGCAGCGCTGGCTTTCTAATGCCATTACAGTTCTGTGGCTTCTGTATGCTTCATGTGAAGTTACTTAAAATGAATTACGTGTGACACAGTCGCACAATGCCATCAGCTTACACGGGCTCTCAGTGGTTAATATAAAACATGAACGGTGTTGTGCATCTCACGAAAGGAAACATTAGGATGGGCTCTCCTGTAACATAGAAGCAGGAGGATGCTGTCTTTCATTGTGTCTTAAAAATGAAAACATTTGCCAGGGTCCTAAATTGGTCCAGGAATTTTTGTTTCCTATCAATACACCGTTAAGTTATTCTCCCATATGGGCTACAACCCTTTATTAGGTATCTGTATCTTCTCAAAAGAAAGACGTGTAAAATTAAAATGAATGCCTTTGAATGCTAGCTACAAGGTACGGTGTTTCTGATTATGCTTAAAGGGTGAGATTTCTACCGGTATCTGCAATGGTTAAAAAGCATTAAAGAAAACCAAAAACAAGACAGTATTTTAGGGATGTAAATGAGAAATAATCAAATGTGAGTGTAGTACAGCATGCACTTTACCCCAGCTGTCTCTCGTGCCAGATTTTGCAGCTGAAATAGAGGTGGCTGCATCTGTCTAGATCAGGGGCGGGCAATTTTATTAGGCGGAGGGCCGGTTACTGAGTTTTGGCAAGCCATTGAGGGCCACATTACAGGCAACTGGGAGCAGATAAATATTAAATTTCTAAATTTTGTAGGGGCCCTGTGGGCCGGATAGAATGGCTTGGCGGGCTGCATCTGGCCCACAGGCTGCATTTTGCCCACCCCTGTTCTAGATGTATCCACTCCGTTTCCCCTTGGAAATTTGTCCCCAAGTGCCTAACT